ACAGCTGTTCACAGAGTAAGTGCTTCAGTTGAGGATTTTTTCTCTTCTTCTGTGTGGGAGATGAAGAGGTAAATTTTGTGAATGCAGGTGGATATTGAGAACATGCAATCTCTGTGGTGATGATGTTGAGAATGTGCAGAGTTTGTGTTGTAAGTACAACCAGATATCCTTGCCTGTAATTTTACATCTGCTCAGATTATGTTAAAATAGCTGTTTTTAGAGACTACTGTACTCCATTATTTACTGCACACCTGTGGTGTATATTTAGTAAAGAAATAAAAAAGAAAACTTCAGGGTGCATGTCACCCTGACCTTGATCAAGCCTCCAAGGTGGAAAAGGACACGCCAAATGTTTGTGATGCATAAAGTTCCTACCTTCCACTGTCTGCTGATAAGATTTTAATCAATGAATGGATTCAGATGGAGTCATAATGGCCTTGATTGGACCAGCTTTAAGTGACACAAGATATTTCACCTGCTTCTGGAAACAGTGGAATAAAAGCTCATTTAATTGTTGCGTTTTGGTTTATTTTGTGTTATTACAGAGGTGATGATGTTGTGGGTGTTATTGTTCTTATGTTTTTAGAATTTAGATTAAAATAAAAGCATGTCTCTTAACATTTAAAAATAACTGCATTAAACTTTCCCACATCTACTCTGATTAGCATACTAAATAATCAAATATTAGTTTTTGTTTTTATTAGTAATTATTAGTTATTTATTTAGTAATTACTAATATTAGGGTTTTTATTATTAGTTTTTTTTTATTAGTTATCTTTCAAAATAGGGTGATTTTGACATGTTATTAAAGTCTCTTTTTTTAAATCAGAGATTATCCTCACAAGATTTGGTGAAACATATTTAAAGTTAAAAAAAACTCCACAACCAACTCTGAATCGAAACAGTGGATTCTGGAACAAAGAACAACATGAGCATCATGTGAAATCAAAAAGTTAGTTTTGCAGAAAAAATTATTCACACATAACTTTGTGCTTTTCTCCATCACAACAGTTGACTGACATAATATTTCTTGACAGCAGCCCTTCCTCAGTGCTTGTGGTTCATTGTTAGCTCATTAACACGAGTGAATGAAAACATTTTGGGTGTAACCCACAGGTCTTACAGGTATTTTCACATCACTCTCAAACTTTCTGTTATATTTGTTTGAGTTCCATGCAGGCATGTTTGTTTCTCTCTAAGAAGCTGACGACTCTCACGAGATAGTTTATGATGTGGTGATAGAAGAGCAGGGCTGGGT